GTGGTAGTAGTAGTAGTAGTAGTAGCAGCAGCAGTAGTAGTAGTAGTAGCAGTAGTAGTAGTAGTAGCAGTCCGCAGTCGAGTACCACAAGAGGTGGTGAGTATGATGAGGTTCACATGGTGGCATTTAAGGCTTCACAAAGTTATATTGTACGTTGGGGAGTCGAAACTGACGTGCAAGTGGAACAGATGTGATCTACCATTGCCAAAATGCTCAGGCCGATATCCAATTAAGGCACGCAGAATGCTTGTCTCAGCTCATGAGATGCAAGTACTTGGTGCAATTTGGCCAGCACTTTTACTGCTAATGCCACCACCACCAACACCACCACCACCACCACCACCACCACTACCAACACTGCAGTGCTAGTGTTGTTGCTGAACTAGTGGGAGAACTGTTAAATGAATTGAACGAAACGTAAGACGTAGAAGTGGTCTCTTCTCGTCCCCATGATACTTGCATTGAATTATGCTTCCCGCACTCTGTCGACTGAAAATGGGTTGATGCAGTTGGAAGGCACTTTGAGCACGACATGTCATATTCGGTTAGGTGCCTCGACGACTTGCTGCGCCTTCGGAGGTGGCAGCATCTGCGGTCAGGTGAGGTGGTGTGGTTGGGGATTAGGCCGTGGATGGCATCTGATTAGGTCGCGCGTGCATTGGCCTGGTTGTGGTGAAATTTGCACAGCATACTGCGTCACGCTTCAACGCATTCACTGCTCAAGGAGGTTACAAAACCACACTGAAACAAGAGCTGTGTGCCAGAGTTGATGGCTGTGCATCCATGCGTGCGTGCGTGCGTGCGTGTGCATAACGGTAGGCGCACGAACCTGGTAAAGTGAATAGGTGTTGTAGCAATTGGCACCTATTCGTAGACTGCACCCACAAACCCTCACAATGCGTGCAAATGATCACTCCGATATGGCATTAGGCGTTGTGGGTTGACACGAGGGTGCATGTGTGTGAGAGCTTGATTTATTTTTAAAACTATCAGTTGGCAGTTGGGTGTGTGGTGTGTGCATTTGTGGTTGTGTGTGAAAGTGCATGAAAAGCAGATGTGAGGCACGGTTCGGTAGGACGACATTCTGGCAATCAACACGCATTCGTTGCACACTCCTCAACACAACATGTACTTAGTAGTGGGTTTTGGCGGTCAACCCTCTCGCCATCAGAGTTTAATTCAGCAATAACCCACTACAAATCCTCCTTTCTAAAAGTACAACATTCAAAGTGCTCTCTTGGGGAAAACATCACATGATAGCAATGCTTGACCCCACAGCTCAGGCCAAGATGCCTTGATGATGTTAACCAAATACAGATGTGGCATTAGGTGGAGTTCTTCTAATTAAAAAAGACATTAGGACATAGAAAAGGCAGAGGATGACAGAATGCCAAAATGAGACTGATTAGCCTGTCTGAGTTGCAAGTACTTCAAGAGTGTCATTTAACACTAAGGCAGCTCCTCACGCTGCAACCGTATCTGAACGAAGCCAACCCACTTATGCGGAGTTGGTAAGACAAGATCTCGCAAGCATCGGC